CGTATACACTTACTCTCTGTAGCAATTTTGTATTGGTCTCAGTCGAGGGGTCCAGACCAGTTTCAATATTGGCCTTTCCAGGACCCCTGAAATATGTAACGAGGCCACAGAGCAATATCCTGTATACCTCCCTTGCTTTGTATGAGGTAGTGGAATCAAACATGCGAGACAACAGCTTAAGAGATGAATCCTGAGAGAGAGAGAGAGGGAGAAAGGATAACAACATGTGAATGGCAGATAGAGTATTGCTATATTAGTATACTATAGGCACATGAAATTATCACTTTATCAGAAATACATGTATAAGTACATGTACATGTTAACTCTTGGAAGACCATGACCATGTAGTACAGTACATGACATGTTACAAGTAGCTAAAATGAGATACTCCAGACCTGCTATATTGTACATGAATAATGAAACAGACATGTACACATACATGTACATGTAAATGTACATGTAGCAGAATATATAAACAGAGAAGACACGTCAGGTAATGTATCTATAACATGCTGGATGTACTTACAGCAAGCGAGTTACAGTCAGACATTATACAATCCTCAAGAGACGAAGATAATGAAGACCACGTGTCACACTGAGGCAAATCCCCTATAAACAACAACAACAACAACAATAATAATAATAATATTCAAATTACCAGGTGGGAACTGGTGGAGTTGTTGAAGAGCTCCTAAACGAACCTAAAAGATTAACAATATTAAAAGCCCTCTCCCCTTCTCTCTTTCTTTACTTCGTTGGTTCTATTAGGTTTCAATTGGTCAGTGATATCTATCAAATGATCATGAGGTATGAAGAACAGACCAGTCTCCTTTAGTGAGGAGAGTTCTGAAGTGTCGCTGTCATCCAGTGGGTAGTACTGGGTTCTTGAGGAACCACCTGATAATGAGGTGGCGTTAGATGATAAGTCATTGGAATCAGGAATATCTGAATGTAACTATACATGTATGTATAACGAATGGAGGGGGAGGGAGGAAGAGAATTAAGAACAATTATTATCAATATTGTGACTTTCTAAAAATAGGTTAGTTTTCTGAAAAATACCCAAGGCTATAGTCTATAGTTTTTCCAAAAAATGGCTCCAAAATCACCCCAAATTTTTATTACATTTTCTGATACATATTGATGTCCTTATGCTGTGTAGAAAGTTTGAGCTGATTCTGACTTCAATTTTTCGAGTTACAGCCATTTTAAGAAAACGGCAAAATTCTGAAAAATACCCAAGGCTATAGCCCATGGTTTTTTCCAAAAAATGGCTCCGAAATCACCCCAAATTTTTATTACATTTTCTGATACATATTGATGTACTTATGCTGCGTAGAAAGTTTGAGCTGATTCTGACAATAAATTTTTGAGTTACGGCCATTATAAATTAACTGCCAATTTACATAATTATAATTATAGTCAGTGTATTAATAATCTCACCAGTAGATCAACAGAATCTTTAACTTCACAGACTGTACTCTGACATAATTCAGTATACCTTTAACAATAAAAAGTATAAAACTTATTATTATACAATAAATTAGCTTATAATAATATATTGCAACACTTTCATAAACTTGTACATGTACGTGTACATTTAAATGCTACACAATGTACATGTACATGTATAAGCATGCATCAGGGTTCTGCCTAGAAAAAAATTAGAGGTAGTTGGAGACTAATATTGTTCCTTTTAAATTCATGTACACCATACTAGTAGACTACAATATCATGCTTTATGTATGGCTATTAGTATTAATTGGATGGTTGGTCTAAGTGATGAACTGGTTGGTTCATTTGTTGAGGTGGTTGTCCCGACCACCCCCGACCACCATAGGCAGAACTATGATACATGTGTTAATTCATACACTGTACATGTACTCACTCAGGAGATGTCAGTATATCGTCAGTAATGAGAGCTACTATATCGTGTTCTTCTCCGTGTGATAGTCCGCCATGTTTCTTTAGTCTTTCATCGATCAGTGGATCAACGACTGACTCAATCTGACCATGAACATACTTTACTAGATCATAGCTGAATAAACAGGAAAAAATGATAAAATTCATAAAAAATCCAATTTTGATCGGAATCAGCTCAAAATTGCTACATATACACAACACAAGCACATGTATCCATATCAAAAAATGTAATACAAATGGCTAATTTTTTTCCTAGTCATTTTTGATAAAATTTGGCCCATGACCCTGTACTATAGACCACCCTAGGCGAGAATCGAATGCGTAGGAAGATTATTAGAAATTTTTACGGTTGTAAGGCGTGGTTTAGGATGAAATAAATTTCCGCCGCCATTTTGGTTGGCAACTTTCAATGGAGAACAAACGGGCCGATATAAAAACAAACCTGTATTAAGAATTCTGGAGCAAATTTGACCAAATCCTTGACAGGAGAAGCTTATAGGCAGCTGTTCTTTCTTATAACAAGCGCTTTTTAGCTATTGATAGAGCTACAGCAGGTAAGTGAGGCATTTTCTTCGTGCCTCCATTGACTTCCATAATAAACTTGCCAACCAAAATGGCGGCCAATTATGATGTGTGGGCAGATACCGTATATAAAATTAATGAAATTCATAACTTTTCCAATTCACGCCTAGGGTGGTCTATAGTACAGGGACTTTGGCCTGATTTTTGAGTAACTTTAAAAATTCAAAAAAAATCCATCTTTTATCTGAATCAGTTCAAACTTGCTACACAACATAAAACAAACCACTATACTGAGCTTCAGTGGCAAAAATTCCCTAAATTAAAATATACTCACACCAAAAAAATTTGCAAGTAGCCCTAGGCTTTTTAAAACTACCTGTGGAAATTTTCATCAGTGGTTTCAAGGTTAGCCACAGCATCCTCGAGTGAGAGGACTTTGCTCTGAGAGCCGCTGGGAGGAGAAGTGACTGAAGAAATAAGCTGACGGACTGCTTTCTGCAGATCAACACCAGTCGCCATGTTTGTTTTCGTCCCGCCTTTAGCATACATTCCTGGGAAAATCTAATGCGCATGCGCAGTGTAAAAATTAACCTTTTTAGTGTTTGTAATTTTTGCTATTATGAATGACAAAAACAATGTATTTATTTATTATAATTACAGTAATAATAATAATGATAATAATAAAGAAGAGAATAGTTTGATTAGTCCATTACAGCCTGCTGTATGCAACTATAAAATATGACAACAATGATAACAGCAACAATAATAATAATAATAACAATAATAATAATAATAACAGTATTATGATTAAAATTACAAGTAAAAGAGTAATAAAACTGTTTAAAATATTTGTCATAAATAAATATAGTAACAATGTATTAATATTATAATAAATCACACATTCTACTTTACAATTACAAATAATAATTAATTACTTTAACTAATAATATAAATGATACAACTACAGTAACTAAATGTAAAACTACAAATTAAGAGAGATTAAATAACTAATTAATGATTATTATTATTATTATGAATAAGGCTTTAATTAATAAAAAAGTAATTATTATTATTTATTTATTATAATATTTATCATCTCTCTCTCTCTCCTTTTATCATGTGCTTTGGTGCAGTCTGTTAGTGAGGGTCAGGATTTCTTGTTTCAGCTGTCTCTTTTCAAACTGCTGTCTCTTCTTAGCTCTCTCAAAAGCCTCTACCAAAGCTCTGTTGGCGCTAAGAAGCTCCTTCACAAACTCAACTAACTGATCACTAATCTCCTGCAACAGAAATAAGAACAACAATATTAATACAATAATCTCACTTTTATTAGCAATAATAAAAACAGAAAATGGCATACAATTTATAAACTTGAGGATATAGTTCCACAAAATGTGAGACATAGATGTACTAACAATACAATGTTATATGTATAGTGACCAGTGTGTGTGTGTCTGGAGGTGAGTATCAGTAATGTAATACCTGAGTCCCTTGATATCTGCCCTCAGCTTCACCTCAAGCAGATATCTCAGTCCTCAGGTATTACATTACTGATACACACATTGGCCTACTGTGCATACATTGTACATGCATAGCTACTAACTTGTGATTCTTGTATGTGTTTCTGTAAGAAGTGATAGAGTTCCTCCGAGTGTAGCAAGGCTCTCTCTAGAGCTTGCTGTGCTTCACTTGTATTATCAGGAATATTGGAAATATCAGCTTGAGACTGAAGAGAGAGGGAGGGAGAGAGGAAAAGAGAGAGGGAAAGAGAGAGAAAAAGAGAGAGAGAAAAGGAAAGAAGAGGATAGCAAAGAGAAAAGAGAGAGGAGAGAAGGAGGGAGAGTGTGAAATGAATGACATTAAAAATCAATAAAAATCACTCAAAGCAATAAAGAGAGAGACAGGATTCTGGCATTGGATCCCCACCTACAGACTGGACTACATGCCCATTTACTGCTACACATACTAGAGCCAATCAAACCATAATATACTTCCCTTGTTATGTCTGTCTGTAACAATGTCTCTTTGGGAAACCAATCATGTGAAAAAGCATAATATGCCAGCAGTAGCTAACAACATCACACAAGATTACAACCTCAAGACCATTCAACCTCTCATTCCAATTACATACTCACCAAACCACTAGTCATGCAATACTTGTAGTAAAGCCCTCAGACAAGAGAGAGCCTCAGGCTAAAATGTGCCTTTATACATGTACATGTACTGAAAATGTATCTACATGTACATGTATGAGTCTCTTTGTCTCTCTCTCCCCCCCTCTCTCTCTCTCCCCCACTCCCCCCCTCTCTCTCTCTCTCTCCCTTACTTTATAAAGCTTTAGTTTATCTCTGATTCTTCTCCTCTTATCCTTCTCTGTCTTATACAACTGCTGTAGCTCAGCGTTCCTTCTCTCCAGCATGTTGTTCTGGAGCTGGACTCGACTCACTTGCAGCTCCATACTTCTCTTGCTCTGCTCCATCATGTATATCTGAGACTAGAGAGAGAGAGGGAGAGAGAGAGAGAGAGAGAGGGAGAGAGAGAGAGAGAGAGAGGGAGAGGGAGAGAGAGAGAGAGAGGGAGGGAGAGAGAGAGGGGGGAGAAAAAAGAAAGTTATAATAATGTTAATAACTAATAACGTTTATACATTCCCATTACACTTATAATACATATAAAGTGAAAAATGGAGAGTGACGGGTTTAAGAGAGAAAGGGAGAGAGAGCTACACTTACCCTAAGCTCAGCCTTTTCCTCCCTTATCTTACAAAGCTCCTCAGTATCAACATAATCCTCAATATCAGCCACTGCCTGCTCCATTTTATTCTTATCAAATAAACTATCCTTCACTATATTAGGATCCTTCACACTCATCAGCTCCCTCAGCCCATCAATCTCCACCAGGGTACCAGTGAGCTGACTAGCATAAGACACAAGTCCTTGATAATAAATCTTTAACTGGTCGATCTCGTTACTGTTAAGCTCCGCCTCTCCAATTGAACTCACTCCGGAGCTAAGTCCACTAGTGGTCGCGGTATATTGTGACATTGATAGGTTCCAGCCTGATAGGAGCCCGTCCGATGGTTGCGTGGGTATGTGTGACTGAAGTTCCTTGTTGCTCTCTAAATCCGATAAAAGATACCGAGCTCTTAGGAGCACATGCTTTCCAAGGTCGTTCCTGTCGGCGGAATAATTGCTTTCTGGGAAGGAAGGGAAGGTCGGAGAAGTAGATGAGGTCGGAGATAACTTCATTTCGTAGAGGAGCTCGTGGACCTCACAAGCCTGCTTACATAGTTTAGTGATGTGTCTTAGGCAGCAGTTGTTGCCTTCGACTTGAGCCAACTTGCAAAACATGTACTCTAAAAAAAGTAAAATATAAAAATAAAGAATGTTCATGTAAGTATAAAAGTAATACACTCACAAACAAACATAATGTACAGTTGGTAATACATGTAGTTTTACAAGATAAAATTTTCAATTTAAAACACATTTTGTAATTTTCAATCTTTCACTGCAAATCGTCCTCTTTAGCAAGAATAAAAATATATTAAACTTGCAAAGTTTGAATGCTAGCAAATATTTCCAATATTGTAGTTACTATAAATAGAATGTTACTATAAATAGAGCAGCTACCTGACTCGTGCTTCACAGTATCAAATGAGGTGCTCAGTCTACGATGTTCGGCTTCCAAGTGCTTCACTTTGGAACGTAACTGCTCGTTCTCAACGAGGCCTTCTTGAGAGGAGGCGGAGAAGGAGAGAGAGTAGGAGAAGAGACAAGAGATAAGCTCTTGAATGCTGTGGCAGTTCTGTAAAGCATAGACTAGCTGCTGCTGCTGCTCGGGGGAAAATGATTCAGGAAGCTAAAAGAAAAATAAAATAATAAATATAAATATAAAATTTAGAAGTACATGCAGCAGTTTTGTAGAAACATTGGGCCCACACTACCTGTCCTTAATACATGTACAGTGTAGCCTCTTTATTAAGGACACCATTGGGCCCACACTACCTGTCCTTAATACATGTACAGTGTAGCCTCTTTATTAAGGACACCATTGAGCCCACACTACCTGTCCTTAATACAGAGGTGTCCTCATTTCAGAGGTGCTTTTGTATAGGTTTGTACCAATTGGAACACTATATACTCATTTCTTATCATTGTACAAATCCTTACCACACTAGTTGTGACATCTTCATTAAGTATACTGACAATGTTTGAGACACCATCAACAGAGCTGGGAAGGTAACCTGATGATGCATATATATCTGAAGCCTCTGACGGAGCAGATATCTAGTAAGAAAAATAAAATAAAATATAGTATTCATAAATTATAAAAGAGAGAGAGAGAGAGAGAGAGAGAGAGAGAGAGAGAGAGAGAGAGAGAGAGAAAGAGAGAGAGAGAGAGAGAGAGAGAGAGAGAGAGAGAGAGAGAGAGATGTTGTACATTAAATATGAGAGGTAGCTAAAGAATTAAAGTCTTACCAAAGACTTTGCTTTCTTAGTTCCAGACTGCACTTCCCTCTCCTGCTGTCTCTCCGGGTCACAGTCAGTGCTTGATATCTTATGAAGTGGTTGAGTTCCTTTGGCTCCTCCTTTTATAGCCACGCCCTCTCCGCTCTTGTGAAGCAAAGGGTCACCTTTTATAAGCTGACAGTGTAGCTTCTGATTCTCATCTTTGAGGGTCCACTTCTCTCTCTCTGTTTCTCTTAGCTATTGAAGAGTATAATGAATCAGTTGAAATTTATATTGAATTTAAAACTGGAAGATCTTGAAAGGCTATTGGTACATGTACATGTGGTTAAAAACTATTAGTAACATACGCATGTACTTCATCATTTATTTTTTACTGCATTGCTTTCTTTTCTCTCTCTCTCTCTCCCCCACCTGTTCTTTCAGTTGCTCTGTCTCTTGTTTAAGTGATGAGTAAAGTCTTTGAAGTCGCTCCATATCAAGCTCATCTTTAACTCGCCTTCCATCATCATGGTAACCTAAAAATTATAATTTCATTAAATTAAATTAAACATCAATTCCTCTACAATTCTCCATTATCTACTGTACATGTACAACAGAAGATGTGTTGTACCTTTAGCATGTCCTCTACTGCTGGTATCTGAATCTCCTTCATCTTGTGGTAGTCTCTTAGCTGATCTCTCCTTCTCTCTCAAAGCCTAATAAGAATTAAAAAAGAAGTGACATAAAAAAGACAAATAAATAAGGAATGATTTATTTACTTGTACATGTGTACATGTATTTATATGTTCATGCAAGTATATACAGTACATGTACATTACAGAGTTGATAGTGCATCACTACCTTTTGGTATGCTTCTAGTTTGTCACGATAGCTTCTTGTTAATTTCTCAATTTGAGCCTGAAGCTTCAATCTATCTCTTTCAGAAGCTGCCAAATATCCTTCATACTCTTTAGCCTGTTTCTGCCAATGCTAATGGAGAGAAATAGAAAGAAAGAAGGAGAGGGAGAGAGGGGGAGAGGGGGGGAGAGAGAGAAAGAGAAAGAGGGGGGAGAAAAAAAGAGGAAGAGAGAGGGAAATAGAGGAAGACCATATCATATGAACGTACTACACTACAACGTACATGTACATGAACGTGTACAGATGTAGTAAACAAAGAACCACAGAGACTTTGTGTAGTAAAGAACAGAGAAAGAAAGAGACTGGACTGGTATTCATGTACAGTACATGTACGTGTAAGTGGTATTATAGGTACTACATGAAAGTGAGGCTAACCTTTTGGTAGTATTGCTGGAGTTCCTTGCTAGTTTTATCAGAAAGGGTCTGGAGGTGTTCTATTTCAGCTTTAGAGTGTTTTAGTTTATCCTTTAGAGTAAGAACTTGTCTCTGGTACGACTACAAACAAAAAGAAATAAAGAATATTATTAATAATGATTGATGTACAGTAGTATCAAGACCATCATTCTGACACTCATAACACAAATAGTATTCCTTGGAATCAGCTAAAACTTTCTACACAGCATAAAAACATGTATATGTATCAGAAAATGTAATAAAAATTGGGGGTGATTTTGGAGCCATTTTTCAGAATATTCATCATCATTGATGGTATAACCAGCTATGCAATGTAGAGAAACCACATTATGATTTTAAATTATCTATAAAAATTCTTATCATAAAATTCTTCTTACTTTACAGTTCCTGCAATGCCGTCCCTTCGTATAATCATTATCAGAGTCAGTTTGATACCACGAGGGGTCACTAGGCATCCTAACCTCTCCATTACTAGGAGGTAGTCCTGAAGGACTGGCCCTAGAGCTGGTCTGGTGGTGATGATGATGTTCAGTCGTTACCCAGTGCATGTCACGTGGGATGGGGTCATGTGAATCTTGGTCAGGCGGTGAGACTGGAATCTAGCAAAGAAAGAACTTGTAATGATATTTGGGTCATGAATCAGCTGCTTTGTCTCTACATAATGCACTCATAACCTAAACAACATTACTGAGCATCTGACTTCATTATTAATACCAGTGTCTAGTTGAGGTGAGGTAATAATAGAAAGAGAGAGAGAGGGGGAGGCTGGAGGAGTATGAAATACCTTCTCTAAGAAGCAATTTCATTATTGCATGAGCAGTTAATTTGTATGTACATGCAACTACACGTACATATACACGTACATGTACATGTACATGTACATGTACATGTATATGTACATGTACATGTACATATGAGTGTGTATTATAATTCTTTTTGCAATACGTTACTAAGGCAGGCTGTTAATTACTGCCCAGCATTCATTACAGGTAAACAATTGGCAACAGTCCATGCAAACAATAATCACATTATTAATGATTTATTGTGAGAGAAATATGCTCAATGTAGCTGCTATTCATGCCATTACCTCTCTCTTTGTCTCTCTCTCCTTCTTTCCCTCCCCCCTCCCTCCTCCTCTCTCTTTCTCAGAATTCCACAATCATGTCATACAATAACTATAAGTGTATTTGGTTCACCTCCTACTCCTCCTTCCTACGTCTGCATAGCTTTTCACTTTAATCTGTGTACTCCCTCTCTCTCTCCCTCTCTCTCTCCCTCTCTCTCTCCCTCTCTCTCCCTCCCTCTCTCCCTCTCCCCCTCTCTCTCTTTATCTCTCCCTCTCTCCCTTTCTTTCCCCTACCTTTCTCACAATATCTCCTCCTTCTTACTCTCTCTCTCTCTCCTTCTCCCCTACTGAGACCCACTAGGGTGACATAATATTAACTTAAACCAGAGACAGTGGTCTATGGCACGAAGACACAAGACATACCAAGCCCACACCTCTCAACAATAACATATCCCACATCTCTAATTGAAGAAGGAATTAATCCTCTGGGCAAAGATTAGCATAATGTTAATAATAACAACCAAACATGCTCTCATACATAAGCCATGATGTCTCAACGAGTGTACATACACTGTACATGTATATACACTGTAGGAAAGGAGGACTGAGATATATGCTTGAGGGCATATGTTAATGAGCTCAGGTGTTACATTGAGTAAGATTAACTATAATACATTCACATACATGTACATGTACATGTATATTTATAACAATTATGATCAAAATACTAATCAATAATACAGTCAATATATTTACTCATGTACAATTAAAAGAAGAATGGTAATAATTAAACCAGGTACTGTGAGGTACATGTACATGTACATGTATATTTATACATGTACTTTTGCAGTGAGAGATGTACATGTACCACGCAGGCAATGGGTATACTATGATTATAATAAAGTACAAGCTCCCATACAATAAACATGAATAATTTATACCACACACACACTCACACACACACACAAATAATTCTTTACATGTACATGTACATGAGAATGATAAAGCATACATGCATTACTTTGACGTCAAATGAATAAAAAATAAAAATAACATTAAAAACAACATTTTTGTCCTAATATTAAAGTAACAGACACACACATAAGGACACAGCTGCTATCTCCATGTCCATACCTTACTGTACATATATAGGGATGTATTATACTCCATAGGATCAATGCAATGTGTGTGTGTGTGTGTGTTTTCTTGTAGGAGTCAACTTGATACACGCATGCTTTGAATATTTCTATTAGTGAAACGATTAATCGCTACATGCAGCCATCGAATGCCTACGTGTCTCAATAGCAACACAATCAATTAGATAACACCACACTACAATATACTAATAATATACTAATAATATACTAATAACATACTAATAATATACTAATAACATACTACATGCATTTGTAAATACATTATTTATATGCACATGCCTGCTGATGTATTAGGTATTAGGAGTATTATTACAAGTACAGGTTCAGGTGGCTGGCTCATTGTATGGATGAATGAGCACTCACTAATGCTACACCCTAAGGCTTGATTTATCAATAATAATGAGAGCAATAATAATACTAATAATAATAATAATAATAATAATAATAATAATATAATAATAATAATAATAAGAATAATAATAATAATAATATTATAATAATAATAATAAGAATAATAATAATAATAATATAAGTACATTGTTCTACGACATGTTTTTACTCTTATAACGACACTAATTAACTTATAATAATAATACGAATGTTTATGAACAATCATCGATAATTCATTTAGAACGATCATAATCAACTTACATCTCCTCCTCTGAAAGGGTCTTCAGAAGAGTATTCAGGCGTATAGCTCTCTTCCAAATATGGTCGATAGATGGGAGAGTAAGTGTGTTGGATCGGATGTATGGTGGTGTGGGCAGAGGGACCATTGCTTTCTCTATAAGCATAGTCTCGGATGTATCGCATAATCTCGGAATAGGGAATCCTCTGGGATGCATCTATTTTGATGCAGTCTTTGCAGTCTCGGAGATTGAGACGATACTCTATACACAAGTACTGGAGATCAGAGCTAAAGAGAGAGAGAGGGAGAGGGAGAGGGAGAGGGGGGAGGGAAGGTGAAAGGGAGAGAGAGAGGGGGGGAGGGAAGGTGAAAGGGAGAGAGAGAGGGGGGAAAAGAGGAGAGAGTTTGAAGGTTAATGATACAGATATGACGTGAATTTGACAGATCAGACGTTTCACACTTTGCTATTATAATAGACTAGTATGTATAATCAGGAACTGTGATAATAATTACTAGTAATTATTATTAGTGGATTTTTATCCACACAACAGCTGGTAGAAGGCACTAGATTTATCATAAAAATTACACATTCAAAGTAAATATATACTGTACATGTACATAAACATTAGCTGGTTTGCATTTTACAGAAAAAAATACTTTCAATATTACAATGCACAAAAAAACAACAAATTAATTACTATCATTGCCATGGATACATGTACATGTACACGTACAGTACATGTATACATGCATCGAAATCAAAATTAACTTACACGTCAATCGTCCGTGATCTGTGATCATACGTGTTACAGGATTGGAAGAAATCAAAAAGGTTGCTGTTGTATCTCTCCATCTTTAGATAAACAGAGCAAAAGAGGCACTACTCTTTGTTAAAAAGAGAAGAGAGAGAGAGGAGAGGGAGTGAAAATGGTAGAACTACAGCAGATTCTCTCCAAAAGGTGTTGTTGGTACAGTAGTTTCGTATATACACACAAGACAGAGGCGGCGGGAGAGTTTAATGGGCGCTTCAATGACGAATGGAGGATTAAAATAAAAGACACAGGGGTAGTCTAACAGGGCGGACGGGAGGAGAAGAAAAGAAAGGCCCCCTCCGGCCGATTCCACTCAGCTCAGTGAAGAGCAATGGCGCGAGTTATTGTAAGTATGGAGTAGTAGGCAGTCTTTGTAGTAGGAGCAGTGACTGTAGGAAGGTCGAGGGAGTAAATAGTAAAATAAAGAGTAAGCATTTGCTGTAGAGTGAGACGTAGGAGTGTTATAGAAATCTACTCTCACTCCTACACAGTGTGTGTATGATATGCAATTGCAATAGCAGTGAGCCACACCTATTGTGAAACCACACACCATTTATTTCATTAAAATTATTAATAAAAGCCACGCCTTCTATTAATTCCGTAGAGCACAATCTTTTGTTATTTTCTGGTTCTGTGCTGTTAGATTTAAAGCACTTTTAATTGTCAAAAAAATCATTTTAAAAGCAAAAATAATGTTTATATATAATAGTATAATATTATTGAAAATTATTCCTTGAAATTCTTTAAAATCTATTTTTATAATGTAACAACCTAGCAATGAAAACATGATGTTCAGGTGATACATAATACCAGTGCTTCTTAATGTAGTGAGTTCACTAGCAAATAAATGCACATATCCTCTTAATGTTACTATTAAAGAGAACATTGCTACTGATCCACTGGAATAATATATGACACTGTTTGATGTAAAATGGAGAATTCTCTCCCAGCCATTTTTGAATAAATTTGACCAAAGTCACTGTACTATAGTATAGTACAAGGACTTTTGCCCAATTTGGGAACAAGTTTTAAAAAAAATTATAAAAAATCCAATTTTGATCACAATCAGTTGAAACTTTCTACAATCTACGCAACATGAGAACATGTAACTTGATGTATTAGAAAAAATTATAAAAATGGCAAATTTTCTCCTTTCAAATTTGATGGAATTTGGCCAAAGATGTGTACTAATATACAGGGGGACTTTGGCCCAATTTTTGAGCAAATTTAAAAATTCATAAAAATCCAAATTTGATCAGAATTGGTTCAAACTTTCTACAGATCATAAGTAGATGTATTATGCTTTAAAATGTAATAAAAATGGAGAATTCTCTTCTGGTCTTTTTGACAAAATTTTGTCAAAATTGATAAGAAAAAATTCTCCATTTTTATTACAATTTCTAATACATATACATGTATTTATGCTGTGTAAAAAGTTTGAACTGATTGCGATCAAAACTGGATTTTTTAATTTTTAAGTTGCTCAAGAATCAGGCCAAAATCCCTGTACTGCATGGTCCCTGACAAAATTTGGGCTCAATGGCTCGTTGGCAACGTATATATATACAAATTCATTTTTAGCATGATATCACATTATTATTAAAATATAAATCTCATGACAATAATAATAATAATAATAATAATAATAACAATGATACGACATGGGCGACAATAAAACAAGGATGCATGACACAGAAATGTTAAAACATTGACACAATAAATTAAGAAAAGAGGCTGGGGGGATACACACACCAACTCTGTATCCCGCCCACACCTCCTAATCACTAGAAGAGTCTTGACGGCCACTCCCTCCTTCCCCTCCCCCTCTATCGCTCCCGCCGCCATCTTTAGAATAGGTTCCATCAACAATAATGGATGCACTACTGCTGATAAGAGGTAGAGGAGAATCGTCTAATTCGTTAATTGGAGTACTGGTATTGATTCTGATCCCAGTGCTACCTTTCCTCGATGGCGAGGAGGATGAGCGATCATCTATAACGACTTGGACCTCATTTAGTTCAATCGATGTATCGTGAGGCTCTAATTGAGGGGTGTGGTGAGGGGTGTGGTCTTTCGAGCCTGAACCACTGCTTCTCTTTAAAGATGTGTCAGATTTGGTGGCCGTTATATCGTCGTGAGGGACAACGTGAGGAGAGCGGGGCGGACTGCTTGGGCGTGGCGGGGAAGTACTTTTTTGTTTGCTCGATTGGCGCTGGAGCTGATGACGAGAAGTACCGCCTGACGATGGATGGACTGAGGTCTGTCTCCTGGGACCTTTAGAGGGAGCTATCGTTGAATTACGCCTTGGTCTTATTTTAACTAAGGGGGGGGGGAGAGAGAGAGAGAGAGAGAGAGAGAGAGGGGGGGGGAGGGGGGGAGAAAGAGAGAGATGAAGATACATGTTTATAAATATAAGTACATCATTTAACATTATTGTCATAATTGAGTAGCAGCTTTGAATGCATGGACAATTGAATGCATGCACGTGTACATGCACATTCAATTGTATTTCTCCCACTAGTCTGACAGACCGGTCACACCTGTCCTGTCTATTATTTATTCCATCCCATACCTCTGTCTTTCTTGAATACAACGTCGTTCAGAAATGTGAGAAATCTTTGAGCGTAAAATGACGGATTGTGAACAGACACAGTGTCCTATGAAAGATAATAGATACAAATGAATAAAATGATAGATACACTAGTCCTTTAGTAAGTTTAACACAAAGTAGGGGATCATTAAAAATGCTAAAATAGCACACACAAGTACAAATAAAAGTTGCTCTCCCTCTCTCTCTCCCTCCCTCTCTCCTTCCCTCCCTCCCTCCCTCTCTCCTTCCATCCCTCCCTCTCTCCTTCCCTCCCTCCCTCTCTCCTTCCATCCCTCCCTCTCTCCTTCCCTCCCTCCCTCTCTCCTTCCCTCCCTCCCTCTCTCCTTCCATCCCTCCCTCTCTCCTTCCCTCCCTCCCTCTCTCCTTCCCTCCCTCCCTCTCTCCTTCCATCCCTCCCTCTCTCCTTCCCTCCCTCCCTCCCTCTCTCCCTCCCTCTCACCCCATCAGTAATTATTGATTTAAATCCATGCTCCAATCTCTTCTTTAGTCTATAGCTTTGAAGGATATCAATGACCCCAAGATACAACAGCAACCTGTCACCACCTTTAGTACGAGCTTGGATATACCCCTCCCTATAATAATGTAATTAATAATAATAAATAACAAGTAATTAATTAATTAATTACATGTGAATAATAATTAGTAGTAATAAAAAACTACATGTACATAATAATCATGATGAACATTAATTAGAATTATAGCAATGAAAATAAATGTACTATATAGTATACTATACATATCTGACAAAGTGACAATGTACATGCATGTACATCTATATACATGTACATCTATATTATCATCATGTGTATAAAAAAAAAAAATACATGTAAATATGATTGCATTGTTATGTGGAGACATCATTAAGTGGATTGTTATTACGGTACAGGGTGTGTATGACACCTCATTATAAAGGAATGCAATTATAATGAATGATGGGGATTGAGATTATACTGGATTATAGCCCATAGCCCATCCACATGGACATAACTTGGAAATTATTTGTTGGAATCAGCTCAAACTTGCTACACAACATAAGGACATTAATATGTATCAGAAAATGTAATAAAAATTTGGGGTGATTTCGGATCCATTTTTTGAAAAAAACCATGGGCTATAGCCTTGGGTAGTTTTCAGATTTTAGCATATTTCTTAAAATGGCCGTAACTTGAAAAATTGAAGTCGGAATCAGCTCAAACTTTCTACATAGCATAAGGACATCAATATGTATTAGAAAATGTAATAAAAATTTGGGGTGATTCCGGAGCCATTTTTTGAAAAAACCATGGGCTATAGCCTTGGGTATTTTTCAGGATTTTTGCATTTTCTTAAAATGGCCGTAACTTGAAAAATTGAAGTCGGAATCAACTCAAACTTTCTACACAGCATAAGGACATCAATATGTATTAGAAAATGTAATAAAAATTTGGGGTGATTCCGGAGCCATTTTTTGAAAAAACCATGGGCTATAGCCTTGGGTATTTTTCAGGATTTTTGCATTTTCTTAAAATGGCCGTAACTTGAAAAATTGAAGTCGGAATCAACTCAAACTTTCTACACAGCATAAGGACATCAATATGTATTAGAAAATGTAATAAAAATTTGGGGTGATTCCGGAGCCATTTTTTGAAAAAACCATGGGCTATAGCCTTGGTTAATTTTCAGAATTTTTACATTTTTTAAAAATGGCCATAACTTGAAAAATTGAAGTCAGAATCAGCTCAAACTTTCTACACAGCATAAGGACATCAATATATATCAGAAAATGTATTTTATTATATTTTCCAAAAGGTAGTCCCTCCCTCTTATGTACGGGTATCCAGGTGTGGGGAAATCCTGTAGGTCAGTATCACTGGCTAAGGTCTCCGGGTTAAATATACTGAAATTCTTTCTAGCTTCAATCCTTGATTGAAGGAATGTTCTGGATCTTTCTCTCTCGTCTGTCTCTCCTCCTCCTCCTCCTGTCATGTCTCCATCAGCAGCTCCTGCTTGTTCCCCCACTGTCTCTGTTGTAGGAGTGGGAGGCGGCTCACCTGCCTAATAAGGAAACAGACACACCCACTAATTAATAATTTAATTAAAAATTAATACAAAATGAAATCAATTAAAATTACATATATATCGGTTCAATCCAGTAGCAATGTAATCTTATTTTACTTTTACTTTTAATATTATGTATATTATCATAATAATATTATGATTTCATTGTTATCTTTCTATATCTATGTACACTGTATTTGGAAAAATAATTCACTACTTGATGTACATGTACATGTACACATGTAGAGACAGACAGTCAATATTATTATTATTGTTTATTTTATCAATAATAATAACTAATGATACAAGTACAAGTATACATGTACATGTAAATGTAAACAAAGACATACAAACATTTACACATGTATCTGTATTATTACTATCTTTATTATTATTTACAGAACAGGTCACTAATAAACTTTATAAAAAGGAAATGTACATGTACATATACATGTACATGTATGAATTCACTACTCTCATGTACCCTCACTATATGTACATGTACATGTACAGTTGTATCTCATACCCACTGGTATATACAGACTAGCCTCTATATAATGAACACTTGAGGACAAGAAAGTGTCTCTGTTATACAGAGGTGTCCTTTATGTGGAGGTTATTTTATACAGTAAGGAATGTAATTGGTACACTAGGTGCTGTCCGTTAAATGGAGGTGTACGCTATAGAGACTACATTTACAAGTAGTCACATTCATTTCATGCATTAATTAACATACATGTACATGTACACAATAAGCATGTGCTTATTGTTACAATTATTGTCCTAATTATTATTTTTATTTTATTATAGTCTCCTCCACTTACTCTAACGGCCTCATCCACATTGTACACTCCCAGTAACAAGCTGTAGTCCATTATACCAAAAGACTCTAGTACCTGACAATCACGAACTAATGTTGAATTTAGAATGTCGTATTTGTCAGGAGGCAACCACAGACCCTGGAGAAAGAATTAAGTAGAACATTTAAAGTGTGTATTTTAAAAGTAATGACAATTAAACCTCTTTATTAAGGACACACACTACATTACCTGTCCTTAATACATGTACAGTGTAGCCTCTTTATTAAGGACACCATTGGACCCACACTACCTGTCCTTAATACATGTACAGTGTAGCCTCTTTATTAAGGACACCATTGGGCCCACACTACCTGTCCTTAATACATGTACAGTGTAGCCTCTTTATTAAGGACACCATTGGGCCCACACTACCTGTCCTTAATACATGTACAGTGTAGCCTCTTTATTAAGGACACCATTGGGCCCACACTACCTGTCCTTAATACATGTACAGTGTAGCCTCTTTATTAAGGACACCATTGGGCCCACACTACCTGTCCTTAATACATGTACAGTGTAGCCTCTTTATTAAGGACACCATTGGGCCCACACTACCTGTCCTTAATACATGTACAGTGTAGCCTCTTTATTAAGGACACCATTGGGCCCACACTACCTGTCCTTAATACAGAGGTGTCCTCATTTCAGAGGTTATAAAAGTGTCCTCATTATAAAGGTGTCTTTATTATAAAGGTTATACTGACACTACATGTACATGCCTTTATTATACTGTGCATGTAATGAATAGCTAATATTATCTTACTTCTGGCAATTGTGTATTAAAATCAAGATCTTTAAAGGTTGGGCTCTTCTTTTCTAATTCGGCTGGAGATGCTCTTCTCTTGTAAGTTGATCCTTTGAGATCAAACTTCCAGTGATAATGGAGGGAAGAAGGTAAGAGATTATTCATTACAACTATCCTAATCTTCACACCACCACACTAGAGGGGAGAGAGAGGGAGGGAGGGAGGGAGGGAGAGGGAGAGGGAGAGGGAGAGAGGGAGGGAGAGAGGGAGGGAGGGAGAGAGAGAGAGAGAGGGAGGGAGAGAGGGAGAGAGAGAGGGAGAGAGAGAGAGGAGAGGAGAATATACAATTAAAGAAGAGATAAAGGAGATAAAAGGATTAATGAAAGTGGATGTAGACAGGAAAAGAGACAGAGTGAGTGGGTGTAAGTACACAAACATGAGCCAAATGAAGTTATTAGTACATTCAGTGCACAATGTGGCAACAGACTAAAGTTTGTACTATATTATATACTAGAAATAATAATAACAATAACAACAACAGCAGCAATAAAAATAATAAATAAATGATCCATGTGCTATAAATTTATAGGGTAATGGAGATGTACGTGTACATGTACATGTTGAAGTAATAATAATGCAGTTCTTATATACTTTATATTGATAGAGACCAAAGAACTTGGGTAGCAGCGTTCTCTTGTTTTGTGTCAGATTCTAAATAAAAATAAACAAATAATCATAGCTGTAATTCTGTTTGTGAATATTTTCCCTGCATCTACAATACATGTATCATGCTTTATTTTGGATTATTTCTTCAATAATAAAACTAATATTAATGTCAACAACCATACATGCATAATAAGAATAATAATAATCATAATAATAATAATAATAATAATATTTACTAGATAGTATCCTGGTAGCAGTTTCTGTAAGAAAACAGCTTCTTTCTTTTGAACTGTTTTAATGATAAACTCGTCGTCAGCTGAAAGGTAGAACAGTGACCCGCTAGCACCAGGATTGGATAACTCTCTCAATGACTGATGACACAAGGCAAGCTATAGGAGAGGAAGAGAGAAGGAGAGAGGGGGAGGGAGAAGAGAGAGGGGGAGAGAAGGAGAGAAGAGAAAGATAAGATAAAGAAGGTGCAAGTGGTACAGTAAATAGACATTGTAAGTGACAGTAAACAAAGCTACAATTATTTAATTTGACATTTGTTTGTTTGTTTGTGTGTTCATTGCCTTTACCAGGTAATCTTCAGCTTTTATTTGAAAAGCTTCTCTGAAGAACCTGAAGGCCACCGGAGAATAGGTTGTGAACGTGAAGTCCTTATACTTGTGAGCCTGTGTAATGGCACTACCACCACTGGAGGGAGGGAGGGAGAGATATAGAGGCAAAAAGAAATTAGATGTGATCTCTCTCTCTCTCTCCCTCAGAAAAAAGAGAAAGAAAAGGCAATAGATGGTAAGTAAAAGTATTAGTAATAAAAAAGACAACAATACATAATAATAATGAACTCTTTCTCTCTCTATACTCACCTAGGGAAATCCACAGTTTCAATAACATTGAAATCAGTCATTAGTATATCACGTCTAGGCTTTGGCTCCAAACCACCAATCTAATATAATAATAATAATAATAATAATAATAAATGAATAAATAAATAATAGTCACACCCACTTACTGAGTGTTGTAGTCCTAACTGTAATGAAGCCATCAAAGTGCTAGAGGGTGTCTGTGGGTGGAAGGGTTAATGTTTATGTTGTGGTAGGGCAACGAACCTTTTTGTATGTCACTTCTCCTTGTTCATCCACTCTTAAGTGACCTATTTTATGTTTCTGGGACTTCTGTGTTGTGTGCTGGAATAAAGGGAGGGAGGGAGGGAGGGAGAGAGAGAGGAAGAGAGAGAGGGAGATAGAGAGAGAGAGAGGTGTGTGTGACAGGGAGGGAGGAGAAAAAAAGAAAGAGGAAGGGAAGAAAGAGAGAAATGAAACCAATTACATGTAACATGCTTGTAGATTATCTACATGTAACTGCACGTTGAACATGTAAATGTACATTATTTACATTCACATGTACATCAAGGACACACTCTTACTTCATGTTGAGGTGTTGCCATAGTAACAGGAGGAGATGGAGAGGACCGAGACTGAAAGAGAATAGAAGCGAAACACAAAAATAAAAAAATAACAAAATGAGAATAATAGGAATAGTGAAAACAATGCGATGCGTGGACTCACCAGGCAAGCAAGTATCAGTAATAATGTGCTCCTTTTCTCTCGCTCTCTCCCTTCGCCTCCTCCTCTTTCTCTCTCTTTCTCTTTTCAAGAAAACTTCAACTGCCAGCGGATTTTGCTTCTCCTGCTGCCCTGGGTTTTCTAATTAAAAGGATATAAAAGAAATATTATAATACTTAACCACACCCATAATGAATAATAAATTAAATGTAGTTACAGTAAACCATAGATGTTATAGGTTACGTAGTCTCTAAGATCTATGAGTAAACTAACTGTTAAAAATAAGTATTTTTCTTATTGCATATTCTAATTACATTGGCCTAAGACTATGCATTATAGCCACGATAAAAAATTTCATCAGTAGAATTTTGGCAGTCTAGATTAATTTGGCGCTAATTGCTGCTTGTAACTAAATTTTGTCAATTAATAAATAATTTCATGTTGCTTGCTAAATTTTTAGATACAAATCATACAATTTTTAAGCTGCTGATATACCATTTTTCATAAAAGTGTAGTCTATACTAAACTAGATAAAATTGAAAATGAATTATCATAGTCAGGTGTTATCAAAACACTGTAGTCACAAACACACACACAATTTGCTGCATAGTCATCTTTCAAAATGGTTTTAGTTTTGCCTTTTGTCTTCTTGTTGAGTGTCAGTGAAGTTATTAGTCAATGTCCACCTTCCTCAGGTAAGACACTGGATGTGTATAATGACAACTGTATAGGTTTTATAGGTATTTACCTTTTGCGTGATGGAATCTGTTATACTAATGGATCATATTTTTGGGATTATAATGTCAATGAAGTTACTGAGAATATATCATGTGTGTTACCTGGTACTAGTCTAACTACTGGTCAGTGGGTTAGAGTTGCTGATCCTGATGATCCTGTTGACTGTAACAGTAATAGTGACAGTGATCCTTTTCGTTGTACTAATGTCACTTCACCTAATGCTACTATCAATCTTTATCTTGCTCAGGGACTACCAGCAGCTCAAGAAGGCTGGTACAAGTGTTGTCTACCCACTGATTGTTCAGATCCTAACACTAACATCATCTTTGCTAATATATTCAGTAAGAGGAGACTATAATCACTTACTGATGTCATAATTTTCATTTGTAGGATTTGCAGAGATAGAGTCATTTACTGTTGCTGATCTTCCTTCTGATATGACAGTATATCCTCAGGAATACAAACTGAATTGTACTAAAATTGGATACTATCGCTATGATGGTATTAGTATGAGCATTGGTAGTACTGCACTGGCTAGTTACACTAATTGTAATGATCAAATTAGTAATTGTCCTGGTACTGTGTTAGTTAGTTTTAGCAACACAGTAAGATATACTGTTACTGTCACATGGGATGGAATGACTGTCAGTAGTGGATCAATGAGTCAATCAACCACTGGAGATCAAATGTATCAGTGTGTAGTGGAAGTTACTGATCAACCAACTAGAACACGTGATGTAATTGTAAAAGGTAATGTTTATGAATGCTAATAATTCTTGATACCAATAATATTAGTACCAGCAACTGCTCCCTCTTCTCTTACTGAGGTCAACAAGACAACTACCACTATCACTGTCAATTGGACTGCACTTGATTCATCTGATGCTGATGGATATGTAGTCAATGTCACTAGTGACACAGACACTGTGCAGACAGTACAGGTGGAGGGAAGTAGTAATAATACAATCACACTGAATGGACTGAGAGAAGGAACAACTCATAGCATCACAGTCAGAGCCTATCAACAATTACTGGGACCTGCTAGTACAATCAGTGTACAGACCTTACCAGGTATTGCTACTGCACCTTTTAATATACTATTAACATTGTTGATGTATTTCTAGTTATTAATTCAATCAATTGGACACTAGTCTCATCCATTACACAACTCAATAACACTCAATATCATATTGATTGTCTCACAACTACTGATATAAATCCTTCAACTGATGTTTACTGGTTAGTGAATGGAGTGATGAAGAGTAACTCAATGTATACACCAATTGATGTCCTGACATACAACAACACACTACTGGTATATCCTGATCCACTGGGAGTGTCAGTTAATGTTACCTGTATAGCAATGATTGGAGGAGTACACTACAGTCAATCTGTGATATTACATGGTATGATTATACTTTAATCAATAGTAGATACCTTTGTCTCTTTTCTAGCTCCTAGTAGTCCTCCAAAGAATGTGAGAGGGTTTATATTTAATGCTACTAGTATCAAAGTGAACTGGACCAATTCATCAGAGACTAATGGATATGTGATTGAGTATACTACTGGAGGTGTAACCAGGAATGTAGTATCTACCAACCTTGAAATTGTACTAACAGATCTCTCACCAATGAGTACCTATACCATCAGTGTGTACTCATATACAGATCTTCCTTCAGTTAATAGTACAGTAACAGTGTTAAGATTTGATGGTGAGTTATTATGATTGAGAAAGTGTAATTGATATCTGTTGTAGTTCCTAGTCCAGTAACTAGTCTCTCAGTATCTAATGTCTCAACCACTGGTATTACAGTGAACTGGACTATTCCCAGTAATGACAACTATGTAACATACTACACCATCTCCTATACTCCATCTTGTCCCCAGTTATCATCAGTGAATGAGACAGTCTCTGTTGGTCCTCATCAGTCCACTACAACATACAGTTATACATTAATAGGTCTGTACAGTGGTATGAACTATACCATCACAGTGAGAGCTGGTAATGTACTAGGAGGATCTGTTTCTGTTTTAACTAATGAAAATACATCATCAATGGGTATGATCATTAATTATTTTGCATTTATTATATTTGTGTACAGCTCCTATTGGTGTTCCTGATTATTTGTTTTTATCACAACCTATTAATAATCTCACTTGGAATGAGGTTAATTGTTCTAAACGTAATGGTCTAATCACAGGCTATACAGTGATTATCAGTAACAGTAGTATCATATACAACCTCACCAGTACTGAGAGATATATCATATTGAATGATCTAGTATTTGGTACTGGGTATAACATCAGTGTAGCTGCTGTCAATTCTGTTG